TATAAAAAATATCATCTACACATGCACTAATAACGTTAATAAATAAGATTATATAACTATTTGATAATATGGACCGCGCATCGCGTGGGTGAAAATCTAGTTGATATATAAAGTACTGTAAGAGATTTAGAGTAATTAATAATAGAAATGGTAACTAAAATTTACCAATAAAGTTTTAGATTCCTATTATAACTAAAATTCCTCTTTATTTCCATAGTTGTCAAGATGTAGAACAGACATGTATTTGGCGGTATATGTTACAGTTAATGATGAAGCATGGTAAGCATTTTGGACCTTATCGTCCCAGCAGATGATCTAAGTGACAGCCTTAGCTTGATAAAGTGTTCAATTTATATTCTATGTTGTATTTATTTGAAATTAACATTGTGGGCATTAACATTGTCATTTTAGTATAAAATTCACTCATCTTCTTTTATGCAGAAGACTTATTCGCCTTCTGATATTCAAAATGATGTCTTGGATTTGATTGGCCGGGAATTTTGATCTTCAAGGCTGGGAATCAGGAGTCTACTATAGCTGCGTTTTCTGATAACAAATCAAAAGATTTAAGCTCAGCCCACAAGAAGTTAAAGGGTGTTAAGATTGAGATTCTACTCCTGATGAGAGAGTTCGTTTGATTACAAAGAGGTGTCTAGATGCTTTTCAATCAAAGCAGAAGCTATGCCGGCGATTTCGTTCCCTTCCCTAATTATCTACTGCCACAACTATCACATCCTCCCGCGGCTCACGACCGCACTGGCTCTTCCCCACCATTTGAATCTTTCTCTCTTTTCCCAGTCAAGCCTCAGGTTTAAAGCTCATTCGACTTCCTCATCCTCATTAGGTGCAGATTCATCTGCACAGCCTCCCAATGCCCGTTCTGGAAGGTCTGGTTCTGTTGCTAGACCTCCGATTCAGCTTGATGGCGTGCATAAAATTGATGTGAATCCTCCGAAAGGAACCAGGGACTTCCCACCGGATTGTTGGTACTACGTATTTTTGATTTAATATAATAGAGTTTTTAAAAAACATTGGGTCAGTCTGAACATCTATTTTTCAAATTCTAACAACTGTACGGTTCTTGATTTGACCCGCGATTTTTGTACCTGTGAGCCCACTCTTAGTGACAATCCTAAAGAGAAGGTCATGGGTTCAAAGTCCATCGTAGTTCAAATATATTGAAACTTGACATACATAGTATATAACAAAGATAGAGCAAAAGCTATAAAATACTACGTACTGTATTTGTAGTCCAAGGTGTGTCTATAGAACTGGAGTTGTTCTATAAAATACTACTATAAAATACTATAATTGTAGTTCAAAGATGTTACCGTCATGTTATGAGTAACTGTGTTGCGACAAAACTGGAGTAAACTCCAAGGTGTGTCATTATAGGGTTCTGCAGGAGGTTGACGGTTAACTGGATAGCTTAAGGTATACTGAAGAGCTTGATGGCCATATCGTGCTCTTAATGTCCAACTAGGTTGGATGCGGATCTCGTCCACCAAATCAATAAGATTGTTATCAGGCCTCGAAAACTTGCTATTATCAATTTCTTGCTTTAAATTCACCAACATTTGCAATCTCGAATTAGCACCCATAAAAATGGGTGTTTGAGGAGAGGTCTAAGAGTCTCCAGCTCATAACTGTAAAATTAATAATATTAGTAAGTAAAATTGTATGTAGAGGATATTAACTTGATGTACAATACTAATCAGCTAAAAAAAGTGATTGAATTTAAATGGATATAGACTAGATTTGAGACCAGTTTAGTTCGGGTTAAAATTTGGAAGAACAGTTTTATAAAAATACTTTTTAAAACCAATTTTATTCTAATTAATAAAAAGAGTTAGGTTCTTACATTTATCAATTGCTAGAATACAGTGCAAGTCTCCTTAGATGATTATGTGTTGGTTAGATATGAATAAAATATTTAAAGTTCATAAGTACTTTTGAAGGTCGATTATAGTAAACACTAGCTTCAGTTCTAAAAGGATAAAAATAAACCTCTATGTGTACTTGAACAAACTAAACTAAAAATTTCAAATTAAATAAAATCACAACCTCAGCAAATGATTAGGCATTCAAGAAATACAAAGTATGCCTGAAAACCTATGAACTTTTTGAATTAGTAAAGTGCAAATCAGAAAATGATTTGGCATTCAAGCCAATACACAATAATTCAAAAACTCATTTATAGGAAGTGATGGAGTATAATACTACCGCAAGAGCTAATTAACGACGAGTTTGGTGTGCGCACGAGCAACAAACAATATGACCATTGCAAGAGACACTTATAAATAGATGACCAACGGTTTACTTCTACATAAAATATAATATAATCACATATGTGAAGTCTTTATATTATATAAAATAGCAGAGTTGTTACAAGTGTTGGAGGGAAAATTCCCGCCTAAAAGAGGGGCAAAAAAGGAAATCAGTGTGCCTTTGAAAGCAATCTCCAGCCCACGTATAGATGCATCTGTTTCTCACACTAATAAAGCTATTATTACCCATAAATGTACCGTAAATAATGCACGTATAATTGTATAAACTGCCAACTTACCATAAAAAATGTATTTCACAATTCATATTGTCTACGTGAGAGACAATATAAGATGTGTTTAATAATTTGGAAATAAATACATGTTCCATATAGTAAAACTATTATTATTATACGACCACCCTAACATTAACTATAAACATATACTACTACTACGACTACTACTACTAATGATGATGATGATGATGATGATGATGATGATGATATGATGACGACAACAACAACAACAACAACAACAACAATAACAACAACAATACTCTAATAACAACAACAATAATATATACCACATACATCAATATATTATGCTTCGTACAAAATCTATACTGTCCCGGCTTTAGTTTCTCATTAAAATGACACGATTATATGGACAGTAATTAAATAATGTTATTTGATCGAGTATATTATGAGAATTAGTTTTGATAGGTATTTAATATAATAATGTCATTGAAAATAACTATAATTCTATAAGTGTATTATTTTTAAATATTTGATGATTAAGTTCTTATTTGTTAATAATTTTCTAAACTAGGAGTAATAAAGTTGTTACATTTTGTTGTCGGCCAAAGATGGAACTGAATATTGTTATAAAATTTCCACTCATTGCTATTGAGAAGGTGATAAAATTTATCACCTTTTCAATAAATTTATCACCATCATAGTCAATGAAGTAACTAATCATAAAATAATCTTTCAAAAAACTTTATCTTTAATTATATTATACGTGTAAAAAAAACGTGTAAAGTAGCATATGTGTAACTTAATTAGGATGTCACATTAAAATGTAATCTTGGCCGTCCATTACTACATATACGTACTTATATATGGTAAGTAGAAGTTGCATTAATTGGCTAGCTAATTGCTACATGCAATTAGGGGTGAGCATATTTTGGTCCGGACCGGAAAATCACTCCGAACCAGGCCGATCGGTCCAGACTGGATCTGGACCGGTACTTACATATTGGTCTGATATTTGGTCCAAGTTTTTTTAAGTTTTTGGTTCCGGTTTGGTCTAAACCTGAAATATTTAAGTTCGGACCAGTTGGACCTTACTTAATTAATTACTATTTTTTAAATATACTCCGTATATTTTATCTAAAATGTATAACTATGTAACAAATATTAAGAATTAATTTAGATTTAGTTTTCTTTGAATATTTGTTCGAGAAAGATTTATGTTTAAATAAATTAATAGCCGTCACTGTTTATTTTTTTATTCAAAATGTTATTTTTTTAATTAATAATCAAAAACCGGTCTAATACCGGTTTAGACCTGTGAAGCCCGGTATAATCCGATCCAAATTATATAGGTGCGCTCTTGAAAAACACTGATTTTTTCATAAGGCTTTGTTTGTGTGACCTCATTTTATTAAAGAAAACTTTAAGAGCTCAAACACATGATTTTTTTAATTCCAAATTTTATAATTTTATAAGTGACTTGGGGCATTTTTGAAAGGTAAAGACATGTTATCAAAAATATTTTTTACCACATTTAAGGCGTGTTTGACTAGCAGAATAAATTGGCGTATTGTCAAAAAATGTTTGATTATTTAGCTGTTTGGAAAAAAACGCTAATATGTTTGGTATTAGCAACATTTTCATTTCAGCGTTCCTGTCCGAAAATACTAATGCCGAACAACTATTGACTAAACAGTTTTTTCACTTTTAAAAAATGCTAAAAGTGGTCAAACCGTCATTTTTCAGGTGAAACGTCTTTTAGCAAACACCCCCTTAATAAGCTTCTAATTCATATTTCAATAGTTTCGAGTTTAATTAAATATCGATTTTTTGAATGAAATGGACATATATCTTACAATATTTGTTTTCTTACGGAGAACTTAATGTAATTTTCCATGTCCAAGATCACCCGATTAAGAAGAAAATAAAAACTTCTTATATGAAATGATGAGAGTTGAGCTGCGATGGCCACTAATGATGTAAACTATAAGAAAAGTTTACAAACTTATGATAATATTTATGCACGTACACCAAACAAGATTTGTCCTATTTTACAAAACTTAGCGATGATTAACAAAATAAACACTCTAGGATGTTTTCATGTATTTTTGTTAATTTTACTTGCAATTTTACTTGCAATTCTTCATGTATGTTATATGTATATTATACGTATGTACTGTAGTATATAAAGCATGGGATCATTCTTTGCTCGATCTGTCTATTTGCTAGGTTTATTTGCTCGATCTCTTTTAAAAATGAGTGATGGATTAATCCTTTTTTGCCACACATGTTTAATTCAGTTTGCGTGTAATTTAAAAGTAGATAACACACAGCCAAACGATGTATTCTATTTTACATGTAAATTATTTTATAGCCCTAAACTTTACATGCAATCATTTTACATGTAAAGTTTTAATGAGTAAACTACCAAACGGGCCCTAAGGGTTTTTTGTTTGATTGAATGAAACCAGACTTTCCATGTACTCGAAAAAACCTTCACAAAACATAGGGCATGGGAACTCACGCTCACTTGCTTCTTCTGACTCGAGATCAAATACAACTACCTTACCCGATTTTTTGAGTATTAGCCTGTTGCCCTTCCATATGCCAAGAGGTTGATAACAATCAAAGAAGGGTCCCACACTTAACTTTTTGGTCCAACAGAACCCCTCATCCCATGTCCAAACATCACAAAACTTCTCATTCTCATGAAGACACAAAAAGGCAGGAGAATCATCACACACACCTAGACAATTTGAACTGGGTTGTGCATCGTTAGCCATGTCAAAAGATATGATCACTTCATTTGAATAACATTGGTTCGCTCCGTACAAATAGCAACATCCATTCACATAAATGTAGCATCTATTCATTTCCAAACAGTAATATTTAGTAAGATCTCCACAGTATTTCCAAGAATCTGTCCTTAAGGAGTAGACCAGGACATATTGGGGTTGCCTCGTGGAATCACTTTCATCATCATCATTGGTAGCCAGACAACGCTCTTTGATAACAACCACCTTATAATCGTCGTTTGTAGCAGGATCCAGCCCAAAACCATAAACTTCATACTGATAGCCTCTAACTATGGAATACTTGGAAACTATTTCTGGCAAGACCTTCAGTTCATTGATAGCTGGATTCCACAAAGCCCGACAACCAAAGTAATTGTGGTACAAATAATATATTCCATCACAAGGACCGTAGATAAATGAGCCATAATGAGGCATGCCATATGTTTAAGCAAAATATTGATAGGCTAAAACTAATTAAAAATAAATTTATATGAAGAATTGGCTTCGAACAAGAATAAAGAAGAAGATGACAAGAGAGTGAACAAGAATGAAAACTTGTGTATTATTCGAATGTTTCAGCTGCCCTGATTACAATGAGGCTATGTTATTTATAGGAAATGTAATTAAAGCCCTAATGATGATTTTTTACGTTACTGATAGGTTTGCCGCGTTTTATAACGAATTCAAATCTGTCATAAAGGCCGGTCAATTACAATTAATATCATATTAAGGAGGCTAATAATACATAAATACGTTACAATAATTGTCATTGGGCCCTGTGAATGCTCCACCAGCTCCAGTTGTCCGTTACTGACGGTTCGACTTGACGGTTCGGACCCGACGGTTTCACAACTCGTCATTAATGCTAGCCAGCTCAAAATAAGTAACCTCTTGCCTTAATATCGTTGCTAACTCCAATAATAAACACAAATCCGTTACAACAACCATCATTAAGCCTCATTAACTTTTGTGATCAACTCTCTTTAATGCAAAATATGTTGCCAAATAATTGCACTAACACCATACAACACTTCATCAGCTAAAACTCGGGGAGTTCGATCCAGAGACAACTCAAACACCTGGAGTTCAGCTTGAGCAACATAACGCTGGATTAGAAGACACCCATTCCAAACCTGATTGTTGCCTCTATGATAATAGTTTTTCAGATGTTTCGATATGAAATAAGGACTTGATATTATAGCATGCCATGTTTTATTCACACTCTTGCATTGTAGCAGTTCTTTTACTGGCAGCCATGAGAGAACCTCTATGATCAAGCTTTCAGGCAAATGAACTGCCGTCTCTATTCTGATTGCCATTGACCTTTCTTTTTGTTCTCTACTTCTGAGAAAAAAGAAAATGAAAAAATTGATCTCTAAAAAAGCACAAAGAATGGAAAACAAATGAAAACGCAAGGTATCCCACAACAATTGATACAAAGTGAAAGAACTCACCTTTCTTTCAAAAGTTGAGTATAACGTTGCAAGGACAAAGCCAATGCTGCAAGCCTGCAAGTCTGCAACATAATTACATAAACACACAACAAATCAATACAAGTAGTAATAACAGAGTACTGCACAAGATAAAAAGCTTAAAGTTTTTTAAGAAAAAAGTAAAAGCGCAGTTATACCAATTTGTTTATATGTAAAAAAATTAATAAGGTCCCTGAAAGACGAAGCAAGAAAACAGCACCTCCCTCGGATACGGCTTCTGCGTCCAATTATACCAATTTATTTATATGTAAAAAATTTAATAAGAAAACCTAAGGTAAACTCCCTGATCCTATTCCCGATGGCTTACAAGCTGTGGAGTATTTTTGTTGTAAAAGTTTTAAATTGGAACGCCTTACGCCTGTAATGGTGCTATGCGTACCACCTGCTTTTCCCATTAAAATCACTACTCCTAATCATTCTACATAATTGCAATACTTCTAAAGAAACCATTTTCCCGCTCACGCATATTGCTATTTCCACCGTTAGATCGCAAAATAGATCTACAGCATTGGCTTCTCAACTTCTCAGCTGTCTCCTTCAATTCGATCTACGGCATTAGCTCCTCAGCTTCTCCTTCCTTTCGACCGGAAAATTCCTCAACTCCTCAGCTTCGCACAAACCAAATCTCTCAACTTCGCACAAATCAAATTGCTTTCCAATTCTCATCGCTCAATTCCTCACTTGAACAAATCGATTGTTGAAGAGGCAAGGCCGAAATTGCAGAAGAGTTGGGAGAAGTAGCAGAGGAAGATGAAGCCATGGTATGGTTGTAGAAGAAGAGGCGATACCTCTGAACTCAGCCACTGTACCGCTCCTCAATTCTCATCTCTCAATTCCTCCCATGAACAATCGATTAATGAAGAGGCATGGCCGAAATTGCACATGAATTGGGAGTAATTGCAGAGGGAGACGAAGCCATGGCTGCAGAAGAGGATACACCCCTGCATTCTTCTTTGGTGCCACTTCTCCTGGCCATCTTCGTTAGTAAGCGATGAGGTACTGTTCGTATTTTTATTTAGCAATTTTATTGATTTTATTAATTAATTTTATCAATTCTATATTCTCATTTTCATTATTCTATGATTCAACCAACTATTTTTCTTCTCATTTCCGTAATTACCAATTTCAATATTGTTTTCTTACCAATTTCAATATTGGCCGAAATTGCAGATGAATTGGGAATAATAGCAAAGGATGATGAAGCCATGGCTGCAGAAGAGGAGATGCCCCTGCATTCTTCTTCGGTGCCGCTTCTCCTGGCCATATTCGTCAGTAAGCAATGAGGTACTGTTCGTATTTTTATTTAGTAATTTTATTTATTTTATTATTTCATTTTCAATTCTATATTCTCAATTTCATTATTCTATTATTCAACCAACGATTTTTCTTCTCATTTTCGTAATTACCAATTTCAATATTGTTTGCTTACTCAGATATGGATAATAAGCTCAAGTTTATTGAGCTTTTACTTGAAGATGATAGAAGAAATTTTTAGCATTCATTGGTTGTTAATAAGCTTTCTAAATTGGTTAGATCTGAGTAATAAAAAGGGATATGCTTCAGATTGTTTTTTATCAATACTAAAGAAAGTCAAGCATTGTGAAAAACTAAAAATACTATGAACAATCTGTTTTAAAGATTGCTTAATACTACCTCCTTTGATAGGTGCAAACTTAATGAAATAGACAGGGAAAATTGTCTTTTCCTTCCTCTTCTCGATTTCAAGATGTAGAAGTAGGTCGTTGGTTGAGTAGTGTTGGTTCCTCTTCTTAATTAGGATTCAACTAACTTCCCATAGTCAACCTCATCGAGGTAATTGATTCAATTTTATTTTATTGGTTTACATGTACTTTTGTATATCTTTGTTTTTTCTATATTTAGTTAATCAACATTGTTATGGAAATCCTATGATGGCATCAAATCACGGAGATCTTGATAGTTGACATAAGCATAAGTTTCTAATGATCCTCCCATTTTTTAATTTCAATTAGGAATTAAGACTTATGAGTTATGACATTCTTTTTATATTAGAAATTGAAGTGATGATCTAACTGTACTTTGATGAGTATTAACAAGGGCTACAGTTTGGATCGTGAATTTGTCATAGTTAGTCACTTAGTCCTCAAGGCTTTGTTCTGAAACAAATGTTTGTTCAAACTCTCACTTTTTTTACTTCTTAAACCCTTATATGTGTTTAATTGGTCAAACTCAATCATGCTTCTCTTTATATTCTCCTTCACTTTTAACGTTGAGACTTTATCACACTATTTAGTATTAAAGTATTTAAAATAGATGACTATTTAAATCTGAAATGTCCTCTTTGCCTATTTTACCTGTGCAGTTCTAATTTCTTTGCTATTATTATAGTCATTCTGCACTGTTGCTAGGAGGATCCTTCACCAAATTGTTCTTTTATTAGTACTCCATCTGTTCAGAATAAGGTTCTCAAATTTAAATATAATAGTAGTATCATGTTGTTTAAGATCAGCTCTCACTGTACTTGACTTCTACCACCTACTTTAGATAAATGAACTTTGAGAACATGAGAAATCAAATAAAAGTCATGTTAAAAGTCATATTAGAATGCCAAATCAAATATGAGAAATAAATTAATAAAGTAAAATTACAATTAGAAATCTTGATTTTTGAGAAACCAGATTGATATATTAAAAGTCATGTTAAATATATCACTTAAATGGTGGGTAAGTAGTGGAACATCCATCTTAAATCACAGAGAATATGTAACATGTCGTTGAATCCCGTTTTATCGTATAGCGACTTCAGTTGGTTGTTCTTCCAAATGGGGTGGAGTTCATTGTTATTATTATTAGTTATTTTAAGATAACATTGAATATAATTTACTCTATCCAATTAGGAGAATTTGGGCCAAAAGGCTGAACTTTTTGTGTTTTCCTACTGTTTGACATGGCTGGAGATTTCTCTTTTTATGGGTTTTCTAAAATTGTAAGCGGCTGCTGCTTTTTATTATCAAGAATGCTTTATTGAGGTGATCCTTTCTCTGTTTCAGTATCTACTCTTATATTATTTTAAAGGTAGACATTTTTTCTTAAGACTATGATTACATTATCTCTTTGTTTGGATTTCGTATCCGAAAGGGGCGTGTTCTTTAAGGGTTGACATTAGACCTTTAGTTCCCCTTTGGAGAGCCATTATGTTCTTGAATACTTGAGTTGAAAGTTATTTTTTAATTTATGTAGGTTGACCTGGTAGGTCATATGTAAAGGCTCTAGATCTATAGGGTGTTATGAACATCATCAGATTGACAATGGTGGTGGAGTTCCTATATTCTCTTTATGGGAGTATAACCAGATGGAAAAGAAAGAAGCTTAATAAAGGAGAACATAAACAAACTCTACCATGCACAAACCCCTAGAAAATTAATACTTATCCTAAGTTTAAAACGACATTGAGTGAAAGAACTGGAGCATACCATTAACATGCATTCCTTTTGCTTTCAAGCATGTTGTATGTCATTGAGTTTACAACGGTGAAATACAACTTAAATCATTTATCGTCAAATGTCAAATAATGTAGTTATATTCCATTTTTACTTTGGTTTGAAGTATTTGTTATAGTTGAGTGAACTTGAATTCTTAAATAGAGGTGGAGATCATTTTATCGGTGCATGTTTCCTATTAATGTGTCCAATAGAACCATTTAGAGTGTGCCTTTTATATTTGATTGCCTGATTGGATCATTGTCACCTTTTATGTCGAGATTTTGTGTTTTTTTAAGAAATAGTGAACACACCTATTGATCACCATTTTTAATTAGAGTGACAAATAAAAACCAGCATTTTTATCCAAGTTTTTGTTCTTAGTGATTATTTCCCCTACAGGCAGCTTATGCTATTATGTTTGATAGCATGAGTTGTCGTTCAACTCTTTGGACCAAGAGGTTAAAAGAAGTATGCTTAGAACCCTTCATCAACTATTTTTTCAAGGATAGCATGATCTTGATCAATTGTTTTAAATTATTTTTATCCATACTCGAGAAGTCAAATTTATTTATATAACTTTCTACTTTTAAATTACTCAAGGTCATTAAAAGTGAACCTTTAGGAGGCCTCAATATTTCAAGCACCCGAGAGCTCTAAAGAAAACCCTAGCAAAAGAGAAACTTAATGTGTGAACATGCTAACCAGTAATTGAAATTTGCTTAATATGGGTGTTTTATTATGCTCAAGGTATAACTATGGAGTAGTCATTGCTGGTGAGAAAGAAGTTGTCATAGTTGCTGATTGTTTTGGACACTTTTGAAAAGCATCGATTTCCAATAAGCACACAAGTGGATGACTTAACTTACCTGGATGCTAAAGCAATACAACTAGCATGCAAGCCACTTTCTTAGTATCTTGAAATATTAATTCATTTATGCCACTTTTGTAGGTGAAGCAAAAGATGTAATTTTTGTTAGACTATTATTTTTATTCGTTGAGATTGTTCAAAAGTATCATTGATTTTGAGTTTTGCTCAACTATGTTATTTGGTCTATCCTGTTGATCTTTGTTCAATGGAGGCAGATTATATCATTTATTATTTTATCTTATTTCATCACATCCCAATATGTGTACACATGCATGCGAGGTTGTTTTTAATCCCTTATGTTTACGGGTTTTTTTTTACAAAGAAAACATCCCCTTTTTCCATTCTTTTCGCCCTTATGTTTTTAAGGCAATATGGCACTCATCAAGACAAATACATGATATGTCACCCTTAAATTAGAAGAGATGCAGTTTGGATACGTGAAACTGTGAAAATATTGTGATATTTCGATAAAAGGTTTCAAGGTTTGTTTTTATGTAAACAATTTTGATAAAATGACTTGCCATGTGGTTTATGCAACACATCATAATTTGCTCATGCATTGTCATATGTGAATCCAGACGCCATTTATATAACTTAAAACTAGACAATATTAAAATGTGACTGTAATTTCAAGGTGATTATAAGTGACTCCTATTTAAGAAAAAATTGTAGTGCCTGTGTTTTGAAAATTCACATTATTTTTACTTTTACTTCGAATTTTTCCCCTGTGGTTATCAATATAAAAGTTGTCACAACCAAATTTTAGAGCATATTTTTTCACAATGATACTTATATAAACATTTACAAAACATAATAATTATATCATGCATCCCGTGCAACGCACGGGTAAAAATCTAGTCATATACGTAATTGCAACAAGCCCTTATTACTTCTTTAAAATAAAAATATATAGGTTTTTATATATTTCCTAAAATCTGTGTAACCTGTTTCCTAAAAACAGAGCCGTCTAATGAATTTGGAGGTCTCGGTTCAAAATGTAAAATTGGGGCCCCACATT